CTAGCATGTGAAACAAAGCGACTTAATCGGAATAATGGGATATAAATGGTCACTAACTGGTTTAGTTCGCCGAAATGTTTCAAGCGATTGCGACGATTTAGTGCCTATATCCGCCTGCTGAATTGAATGCGTCTAATCGATTCGGAACAAGAGGAAGGAAGATAAGTAAATGAATGAATGAATGCTTGAAAAAGAATCTGCGTTAAGCTACAAGCCTCAGATGAGAGATGATCACTCCTAGTAAGCAGCAGCTAAGCATAATCACTCTCTAACACCACCACTCTCTAATCCTATTCACATGCATAAATCTATCTCAATTCATGCGGTAATGCCCAATGACGTCAATCACCCAATCGAGCCACCACTAAATCTCTCCTACTACATCGAATTATCATCATTATTATAATTCCCAATTGACGCTTTTTCGATCGTTTCTTCGCACAGTAATCATGATCACTCGTAGACAACATCATTTTGGCACTTTCGCTGCAATCAACCAACCACTCACTCATAAATCTGATAATTAAAATGCCAAATCACGATGCTCACTGTGCATCATCTTCTTCTTCCAAATGTCAGTACTTTCACGTTCCGAATTCTTCAAACGTCAAATGTTCCGCCTTCTACAAGTTCTCATTGTTCCCAATGGTTGTGGCCTGCATCGGTTTGTCCGTTCAACAAAATTCCTGAAAATTTTCGTAGTTTTACAATTGCACTGAAAATAATTGCTGGTTGTGAGAACTCGAAAAACCAAAAGAGCTGAGAAACTGCACTCAACGCCAGTATTATGACCACTTAACAAGTACTCACCTAATTCCCATCTCGCTTGTTACAAACACCTCATTTTTCTTCAATCGAGTAAGTTTTACTTGCGTGCAGCCTTAACGAAATCGTCGTTCAGTTAGACTCATCCTAACGGATTTTTCCTATCCATTAACTGAACATTCAGTGAGGTTTTGTTCGAGTTTGTAGGATTACATTTGAATTGTGTTGCTGAATGGCACTGATTTCGTTTTACATGTAGTGTGATGATTGACGCCGTTGCTCTATGAAGTGTTGCGTCAATACACAATTAAGTTATTACTGCAAGGTTACTATTCTTAGAATATGTCAGTCTCATTATGTGAAGGGCGTTCGGCTTCACTCTATTTGATGCTATTGCCTAAATTTATTCAACTTTCATTTATGAGAACTTTGCACGCGTTCGTTCATAAGAACAAGATGTGACTTAGCTGCTTCTTAAGAAGCAATGAACTATGACGCATTTCCTGAATTCATTCCCGTGCACACAACCAACCCTCTGAATAATTATTCAAGCAACTCTCCCAAATTGTTTTCCGTTCATCACATTTGTAATTTATTCACTGCTCCACTTGTTATTTTTGGATTGTTTCTTGTCGCAATCGCTCCGTATCATTTCCAATGAAAGCTGCTTGAGTTCATACAATGAGCACATTTGTTGGTTTGATTCGACTAGATACCATACCATTAGCAGATTTAGGTTAGTCGGCAGCTGCGGTACTTGACGTGGTTATTATCGAAACAGGTCATGGTTTTGGACGTTTTCAATATGCGAAATGTGATTTCTTAAACGTTTGCCCAGATGTTTCGTTTATTCAATTAATCATCAGCAGTGATGGTGGTGAACAAAAAAGTTAACCCCAAAGTAGCATTAATTTTTGACTGAAAATAAATTAGTTTCATCGAGCAGAAATGTGTGCTAACACATTCATCGAGATTTTTTGATTCAATGTGCGTCGTTATGGCACACATCTACTTAACTAGTTAATTGTTTCCTGATCGTGAATTCGCTCGAATAAGTTCTCAACAGAAAAAAACAACACATTATTGCCCGCCGTTCCCTGAAATATCATTCGAATGTAACGCGTAAATTGCTCTGCAACACTCTTTGTGATCATGTGAATGTGTCATATGCGTTTATTTATGCTCATATACCGCTGGCTGTGANCACTCTTTGTGATCATGTGAATGTGTCATATGCGTTTATTTATGCTCATATACCGCTGGCTGTGATAAGGCTGAGGATTGCTCAGTCGAAAATGTCAGTAAAATCCTCTCAATCACGTCAAATAGTTAGCTCAATCCTTCTCACATCAATCTTCATGTTTGTTTATTGCACACGAATTGTTTTCATATGCGTGTCTATTTCGACCTCAGCGCAACATAATACCACTTCTCATCATTGATTAATGACTTTGAAACAGTCTGATAGTGATTATTGAATGTTATTCCTCGCTGATAAGTTTTTTCGAAGATAAGATCGTCGCTATTTCAATTGGAACGAATATGAAGACGATTTTCCGCATTTCAGTTTTCTTTTAATTAAGTGCACGCAATTTTTTGCAGTTTTGCATCTTCTTTCCACTTCGGCTCAACATCTCGATAAAAGATATTCCGAATCTTTCGAGTTCACATTCCCAAACACAACTAGTGACCTGCCAAAAGCTGTACATACCGACAGTGACTAGCAATTAATATGGGTAATCAGCATACAAAACATGGTAAAACGAAGCGATCCCTTTCATCACAATGTTCCGCTGGACATTCGGTGATAGCCAACGAACTGGTTCGGCGATCGGCATCCGCAAATCCTGCTAGCGCATCGATTCTTCCACCAGGTCATTATTTTATCATCAGTAACACTTCTTTATGAATTCTTCCTCCATCCTGAATAAAATAAATCTGTTAGATTTTTGCATTTTTTCCAATCAATGAATCAAAAATTAAGTTGCATACGAT